CCTCCGCCTCTACCCCCGCGTGGGGCGTTGGTCGCCCATCGCGGGACTGCTGGTCATGTGTCTCGGGCTCGCCATGTCGAGCTTCTCCACGACCGTGACCCACCTCATCGTCACGCAGGGCGTCTTCTATGCCGTCGGCGGCAGCGTCGCCTACTCGCCCTGCATCGTGTACATGGACGAGTGGTTCGTGAGGCGGAAAGGGCTGGCGTACGGGATCATGTGGTCCGGCACGGGGCTGGCGGGCGTGGTGCTGCCGCTGCTGCTGCAGAGTCTGCTGGACAAGTACGGGTTCGAGACGACGCTGAGGTTGTGGGCTGTTGTTGTTTTTGTCTTGACGGCGCCGCTGGCGTACTACATCAAGCCGCGGCTGCCCGTCAGCGCGGCGACGCACAGGAGGCCGTTTGATCTGGGGTTTGTGTTTACGAGGACGTTCCTCGTGCACGAGGCGGCGAACGTGGTCGAGGCGTTCGGGTTTTTCTTGCCGGGGATTTACCTGCCGAGTTATGCGCGGTCGACGCTGGGCGCTAGCGGGCCGCTGTCGGCGCTGACGATCCTGTTGTTGAATGTTGCTAGCGTGTTTGGGTGCGTGGCGATGGGGGGCTTGATCGATCGGTTTGATGTCACTACATGTATACTCATCAGCACGGCCGGGGCGACGGCGGGCACGTTCTTGCTTTGGGGGATGGCGGGGAGTTTGCCGGTGTTGTATGTGTTCTGTGTGGTGTATGGATTGTTTGCGGGGAGCTTCACGAGTGCCTGGCCCGGGATCATGAAGGAGGTTGCGAAGAAGGGAGAAGAGCAGGGAGAGGAGAGAGGGGGCGCGGTTGATCCGAGCATGGTGTTTGCCTTTCTTGCTGCTGGACGCGGGGTGGGAAATGTGGCGAGTGGCCCGCTGAGTGAGGTGTTGATCAAGGGGCTGCCGTGGCAGGGAGAGGCGGCTTATGGGTATGGGAGTGGGTTTGGGACATTGATCGTTTTTACTGGTGTTACGGCCCTGGTGGGAGGGGGGAGTTTCATCGGGAAGCGGGTTGGGTGGATTTGATGTCGTCTTAAAAGAGACATGAGCAGAGGGACGAGGCTTCGGGGTGAAGGCGCTGACCAGTAAAGAATCTCCAGTCTTATGACACTAGATGGGTGAATACGGTATACCGCTTAGAATGTATGCAATGAAATATATACACCTGTTCCTCCTGCCCCTTATTTTCCAGTTGTTTTGTTCCTTTTCCATTGTTTTGAAATCCTGCCCAATGCATATCCAAGATCCCAGTTTTTGCGCCTTGCTCTCCATGAAGCCAATAAAAGAATGCACTTTCCAGCCCCGACACCTGACTTCTTCTATCACGTCGCATAATCCGAGTCGTCCCTCTGTAATACCGGCCGCGGGTCCCAGTCCTCGCCAGCAATGCTCTGCTCCTCCTCGTCCACCGTCGTGTCGGACGAGCTGTCCGAATCATCATCCCGGTTGTAGATGAAGAACTGGACAAAGATGGCCATATCCAAGAACAGAGTGCCCGCACTCCCGACGAGCCACGAGAGGTTCACCAGCATATACCGCCCGTAGATCGCTCCCGCCTCGCCAGGCTCGCATTGCCCCGGTATCTCGCACTTGGGCTCGTAGGCGAATATCGACATGACATATGTCAAGTTGCCCAGGCACGCGAACAGGAAGAATAGCATGCTCACGCCGTCTGTCGACTTGCGCCTGAAGTTGAGTAGTAGTTGCGGTAGCCTGGAACCGAGGTAGAGTACCGCGCAAAGCCAGCCGAAGATCTGGCCCCAGAAGTCCATAACCAGACCGCCGTCGTCGTTTCCGTCCGCAGGTGGAGGTGTTGAGCTGTCCTTCGAGTAACCCCTGCTGAGTGCCCATCCGCCCACACCGGCTCCAATGACCATCAGCATAGCGAGCGAGTTGAAGGCCGCTGTCTGCAGCCTCGTTGGTGGTGGCGGCGCGGGCCTTGGTGGTAACACATCGCTCAGCAGCGGCATCGCGGGTGATAGGTGCTCCCAGGCTAGTTCTCCCGAGCCCCGCCTCGAGCCGTTCTGTGCCTCCCCATTGATCGTGACAGTAGGGACAGTCGAGTCAGAAAGCAGGCCCGTCCGCTCGTCCGCCACTGCGTCCCCATTGCGCCGACTCTTCTTCGGCGGCGGGATGACCTCGTCCCGCCAAGTGAAGCCGCGGTAGTAGAAGCACTGGGCCAGCAGCACGATGTCGGCAATGGTGTAGTAGATGGCCAGGATGATCATGGTGGGTAACACATGTTGTAGGACGGCACCCAGGATGTTGAAGATGTCGCCAGCTAACCAGACGATGATGAACTGCAGTGATAGGCCATCGGCTGCGCCGCGACGGAAGTTCTCGACGATCTGCGGCGTGAAGACGACGACCCAGCAGGCGATTGAGATAGAGCCGCAGATGCCAGATATGGCCTCAACATCGAGATTGAGGGGTGCTGTTGGCGGTGCCATTGATGTCTGATACGACTCGGGGTGAGCTGTGAAGACGATCAAGGAGGCGAATAATGAGAACCCCGTTGCCTCGATCTGAGATGAAAGAAGCTTTGGTTTGACGCGCCCCGCTCCGAAGGGTTTGGGGTTGGTGACGTATCCAGGGATGTTGGAGTTCGGCTGCTAAGAATTGAGCCGAACAAAGGTGACAGAAAAGTTAGGCAGAAACTCAATCAATCCGATATGCTGAATATGAAGGATAGAAACGAGAAAGAAAAAGGGCACGCCAGTCTGATCAGAAAAAAGCAGTCATCAAAAGTCTCATGAATCATTTGCCAGGATTTCAAGTTTTCACGGCTGTAGCCGGGATTTGTACCACGTGAGGGTTCGGTTCCCGGGATCTTGACGCGTCCACTAAGATTTGGGGTAAGTGGGGGTGCCTCTTCAGGTGCCCCGCTTTGGCGCTTCCGGGTTCCACTCCTGTAAAGAGACAGTTCAGCCTCGAAGCCTTATCCAACAAACATCACCGCTCCTGTTGGAACATGGCTCACATTCATAGCAACAGGCTGCTCAGGCTGCTGCAGACCTTAATAATCCGATATTTCTATGCATATGCTCTCAGATGACGATACGGCGTAGGTTGCCGCGCACATTGGCTCTACATGAAAGTCCAGGACAAGTGTCACGGCAACCTACGCGGTATGGTGAATGGCGTGCTCTTACCAACCTTTTGCTGGCGATGCACAGTGATTTCATATTCCAAAGGAATCTTTAGTTTCCTCTTCGGTTTCTCTTAACGTTCAAGATCACCTAGGGCGTTTTTATTCAGGACCTAGTATTTGGCTCCGTCTCGTTCTCTGTCCATTACATCTTCCAATCCGCAACCACTCGAGCACAGCATTTTTCGAAGCTCGTGTCTATAGGGATTGGCACCCACTCGAGAAAATAACCAAAGATGGCAAACTTATCCGAGTCTTTCTTCGTTGGTTCGCTCGAGGAAGCGGTGCTTATGCATCGCGAGCGCCGCCCTCTCACGATCCAGTTCCCGGTCAAGACCAAATTCCTCATTATCTCCGACACCGACGGCAAGGACTTCCCTATCCCCAATATCCCTGTCGACGTTGCCATCCACTGCGGTAACCTCACAGAAGGGTCCACGCCAGGCGAATTCCGCAGGACCATAGGCCAACTTGAGCGAATCCAGGTACCGCTCAAGCTTGTCATCGCCGGCAACCGCGACTACACCCTCGACAACCCCTGCTGTCAAGAGCAAGCTGACGATGCCATCAGCGCCCGCACGAATGACCCAACCGTGCCAGAGCAACTAAAGAAGGGTTGCGTCGGCGTTGGGGACCCCCTACACTTTATCGAGAAGTCCAAGGATATCAAATACCTTCGCGAAGGCGCACACGAGTTCATTCTCAAGAACGGCGCCAAGCTGACCGTCTATGCCAGCTCCTACACCCCTTATCAAGGGAACGGGGGCTTCCAGTTCAGGCGTGAAGATGGCCACAAGTACGACATCGGCATAGCAGACGTCGTCATCACCCACGGGCCGCCGCATGGTGTCCTGGATCTCACCGCGTCCAACCAGCGAGGCGGGTGCCCGGATCTCTTCGCCGCCGTCAATGAAGCCCGCCCTCGCCTGCACTGCTTCGGCCACATCCGCGAGGGCTGGGGTGCCAAGTTCGTCGAGTGGCGTGGCGGCCGGTACGACGAGAACCCGACGCACTTGTCCAACATCGACTACGAAGGCACCACCATGATCGAATGCCTGGCATCCCTCAAGCCCAAGAAGGACACAAGGATGAGATCAGAGGTCGAGGGAGTCGGGGGTGCAACGACGGCCGAGGGAGAGGAGTTGAGCTACTGGGCCAAGCAGGGCTACCGCATGACCAGCCACGGCCCGCGCGACGAGCACACCATTACGCCCGGCAAACACACGCTCTTCGTCAATGCCTCCATCCAACCGTTAGAGGGAGACAAGCCCCAGATGCCGTGGATTGTGGAAATTGAGCTCCCCGAACATAACGTAGTCGATATTCGTACGCCCGGTCGGGGTCCCATTTAACTGATCAGCCTGCTTCAACCGCTGTGGCTTTTGCGTCTCGCTGTTAGTTTCGCAACCTGCGGCGACGGACGAGATTTCTCTCATGGCACCCAGGGCAGGCAGCTTGCGAAGGAGACAACGTTTGGCAAACTCGGGAGACGTTCATGGCAGGATGGATTAACGGGAGACAGATGCATATCCAAAAGGGAGCGTATGGGTCAATGACAACAAGAAGCGCAACAGCCAGGCGGACAACTTGCGGTGTAAGGGGAAAAGGCCTATACTACAACCACACCACCTTAGCTTCTTGTACAAACAAATTTCAAGATCTCCCAATCGTCGAATGCCCTGATCGGCTTACCGTGTTCACGGTTTTGTAACGTGAGCAACGAACAGGCCTTTTAACTTTCTGTGCTAAAGCCAGCCAGCGCATAATCTAATTCAGCGTTCCGTCCTGACATCAAACCGACTCCACAGCTGCGGTGGGTGCTTCAACACCCACTAATCTTCCGTAGTATAGTGGTTAGTATATGAGCTTGTCATTCGACAATTCGCTCGGGACCCGGGTTCAATTCCCGGCGGGAGAGTCCGCCAGTGCACTCAGTGCAAACCTGTCTTTCTACAATTTTTCTCTTCGCTCACCTTACCGTGTGCGTTTTGTAATTCGAGTTAGTGTTTCAATGTCACGTTCATGATCTTTTCTGCCTTTCCAATCCTACGTTTTGGCCAGTCGCACGTTGCTGGACGAACCGGGAGGCATACCAACCCAGCCCGTTGTCCCGTGGCACCGTCCAAGTCCAACCGAGGGTGGTATATATCAGAAGCCTCGTGTAGCGAGCCTAACATGCCGCTTCTCTAGCCTATATTGTATGTCGGAGTATCGACCAAAGTCGTTGCCTACTGCCTAAGTCTGAGAGGAAGGCGAACCGTCCGGGCAGCAACAGCAGCGCCAGCCACGCACCTCGACCCTCAGCCGCAACACTGTCCATAACCCCTCAACCGGGGTACACACACAGGTGAAAGAAAGGAGACAGATGTCAAAAGGTGCTTTCCTCGCCAGATGAGACCCAAACTTATATGAACGCCAACGAGGCAACAAGTCCTGACCGAGTCCTCGTCACCAAAACTTCCCCCCAACCCAAATTACACCACCGAAACCAGCCTACCCGGTCGGTACGGGACCAAATGTCCAGTTCTTGGTCGAGATACTCACTCACTGTCGGTAAACCATATTGCCCAGGGCTCTTCTCGCTGGAGCCAAGACGGAGGCTTGCCAGGTGGCCCGGAAACAAATGGGTTCAATGTCCGGATCGCGCGGTGACGAGAGGGCGGGATCGACTGCGCCAGATACCAGACGCGGCGCGATGTCGAGCATGTGATGCAGGTGTAGCTTAGACAGCATACCACACAACTGCGAGGCATCCTCTTGGCTCAATGTGCTGTGTTCTGGCCCGATATCTAACTCTAGGAGCGCCTTGAATAGTAACGGCCGCACCTTCACCACGGACCAGAATAGGGGTATCCCGGTACCCCTAGAGAAACTGGCACCTGCCAACCCCCCCCCCCCCCCCCCCCCCCCCCTTCCCCCCTCGCCGTTCGGTCTCGTGGAACCTGACTGCGCACGGAGACACCGCTCCCTAAAGCCGTAGCCTGGCCTTTGCCCGGCCGCAGAAGGAGAAGGATACGCCTTTTAGGCTGGGGAAGGGGTCACACGTGGGGTATGTCGAAGGAGGTAGGGTTGTGCTGAAGATGGAGAAGACTATCCGGGGACTTTGCGGAGCCGGACGACAAGCGTGGTCGTGGTTTGGGATATAGCCATGGGAATGTCGAAACCGTCGTCGTGGGTGACCGGCTCGCCACCGCGCGCTATTGAGGACGCTTCCGGATCTGTTCGATCAATGTCTGGTGGTTGTTGGCGCATAGAACGTGGAAGGGCGAGACATATGAACAGGTTAGGCTGCTCCGTCAGTCTCGCCGGTTTTGTTCGTGTCCTCGCTTCCGGCCAGATTGAGGCGGCTCGGGGCTGAAGCGAAGCTGCAAGAGGATTTGAATGGCATGAGGCGAGGCTGTGAGCTGGGAAGGTGGTCCTGGACAACGGTGGAACAAACCACGATGCGAGAGACGACGGTACGAGATAGTGCGAAGATACTGCCTCTCGGGTTACGTTTACCCGGCAAACAGACCCCTCACGGGTCCGGATAGAGTCATTTCATCATTCATTAAGTCTAACACTGAAACGAGACCCCATTCCTCAAAGCCTGCGTCTGGCCCCCCGCGGAAAACCCCGTGCCCTCCCTCCGTATCTCCACGAGACCAGGCCGTATCCTCTCTTTTCCTTCCTTGCCCTCTTTTTCCTTCTTCTTATTACCCTCCTTCTCCGTCAACACGGCCTCGCAAACATAACACTGCACGACCTCGGGGTCAACGTGAGGCGCGTGTGGATCGCGGTGGCCCTGCGGCTTCATGAACGTGTTGACGCAGCTGCCGCACACGACGTGGCCGCAGGGCTTGGCCAGCATCGCCTTTGAGGAGTTGGACAGTGCGCGCTTGCAGGCGGGACATATCCGCGTCGTGGTCTTGGTCTTTTCGTCCGTCTCCTCGGTGAAGTGGACGGTTATCAGGGTGTGGAGGGAGTACGGGTGCGGTTGGTCCTCGGGGGAGGCGGGGCAGATAGGTTGGGATTTGGTTTTCTTTTTGATGTCGTGCAGGGTGTTTTTGCTGTTCGAGGAGGGGGTGACGGAGGGAGTCCAGAAGGAGGGGAGGGTTGGTTTTAAGGACTGCGATACGGTTAGTATGGAGTAAGGGGTAGTTGGTTTTTGGGGAGTGGAATCTGTACCTTCTCATCCTCGATAGCCCTCCGTGCCTTTGCCCTCTCTTCCTCGGCGATACGCTCAACCTCGTCTGGATCTAGCGAGAACTTCCGCTTATCTCCCCTCTTCTCCGCGCCATTCGTCTCCGGAGTGGGCGAATGGACTACAGGAGTATGCTCCTGTATCGACTGCGCGCGTGCGTTCCCTTTGGCAGCCTTGACATCAAGCCCGGCCTGCGTAAGCTCAAACTCCCGTATCGCGCGCTCCTGTGCCTCCGCGTCCTGCCGTGCCTTGGCTTCCAATTGTTCCCTCTCCTCCTGTTGCAGGGCCTTCTCCAGCCGCTTGATCTCCTGCTTCTGGGCCAGGATGTTGCTCAGCGCGCACTCGCGGCAGTAGAGGTCGCCGTGGAGGCAGGAGACCGGGTCGATCGCGTTCTCGAGGCAGAGACGGCAGTAGGCGAAGGGCAGGAAGGAGTCGCGGCTCAGGCGGGCCGAGTTGGAGCTCCAGGCGGACTTGGCGAGGGCGCGCTCGTGCGAGGTGAAGACGGCGCGGCTGGTGTTTCTCTTGCTGTGCGCCATTGTGGCGGCGGGGTTGATCCAGACAGGCGTCAGTCAGCTTGTCGCGCCTCGTTCAGGATCTCTAGTTGTCTCTTGAGTTCGGAAATATGTTGCTTCGATTGAGCCAGGACGTCGTCGCTTTCCCCTTCAGCGATCAAGGCGCGGCGTGCTGCGTCCCTCTTCTCCTGGAGGTCGGCCGGTGGTTCCAATCGGAGAGCAGTCAGAATGGGGTCTGTCTGCCTGGCTTGTGTCGATGTCGGTAAAATTCGTCGGGCAGTCGGGGAGAGGTTCGCCGGAAACAAGAACGCATAACGGTACGAACTCCTTGTCCTCGTTAAGCTCTCTGAGTCGATTGACCAGCCTGATGCGATAATTAAAGTCCGCAATGGTATCAGCCCGATTCTGTGCTATCTCGGCTGACAAAGCGGCCTCCCTGCGCTGTCTCTCGATTGCGTGAATATGCTGGACGAGCTTCGTTGATGGTTCCGGCGTTGAAACCCGTGGGATGCGGGGAGTCCTCGACGTCGTTGGCAGCGGACACCAATCGCCGAAGAAGGCGTTGACACAGGCGCTCGAGTTCGTCGCTTTCTAGGCTGCGGACAGCTTGTAGGATTTTCCTGGAATAATAGCTCCTCGTGAGGTTTGAGAATCATCATGACGGAGGTTCGGAAGAGAGAACGTGTTGACGTCTCCTAGCGTCTGGTTGTAGTGGGAACAACAGCTATGGGGTTCCGTCAAGCACTCTGGCTCTAGCGGAAAGAAATACAGGGATCCCGTGTCTTGGCGTGGAGCTCGCCCGTCCATAACCATCTCAAGAAAAGAAAAAAAAGTTGGACACGACGGAACATGTGCCTCAAATTCACATCCCCTCAACTGTGCGAATCTAATACATGTTCGACCTCCACCTCAGCGTGCGGGTTGCCATCCCTCCACTCCTTCAAAAGCTGCTGCGCTTTATTTCGAGTCACTCCTTTCTGTGGATTTCCATAGCATGCCCTGCCTGTTTGTATTGTTATAGCATGAGCGTTGTGCCAACAGGGGGCCAGCACGGAGGAGCAGCAGCAGGGCCCAGCCTGCCGTGGCGCATGGCCTCATCGCTGGTGCTGGGCGTGTCCAGCTGCATCTCCAAGACGTTCCTGTTTGGACTGAATAAGACCGAGGTCTATGGCCTGCAGAGGTTCCTCGAGATCCTGGATGATCGCGAAGACCCTGCCAAGAGGACGAAGGGGTTGATCACAGGTACAGCCCCCCTTTGCGCGTATGCCCTTACGTGATCATATGCCCTGGCTAACTCTAATAGTGTCCAACCATATCAGCGTGTATGTTCCCTGCTATGTCCCATTTCCATAAGAAGTATGTTTGATGTCCGGCTTCTGATGGCCATGCTAGACTCGACGACCCCGTCATGTGGAGTGTGCTGCCCCTGAAATACCCTTTCCGGCCATATAATGCACGCTGGGGTCTCGGTGCTCACGACATATGTTTCACCAACCGGTATGCTGCCTACCACCTCCTCTATGACCACGAGCCATTCTTCCTAACGCGTGTCCCAGCATTTTCGCCTCCTTCTTCACCTACGGCCAGGTCCTCCCAACGCACAGACTAAAGCACTCCACCAACGGCGGCCTCTTCCAGCCAACCTGGGCAGAAGCGATCCGCCTCCTCTCATCTCCATCATCCTCAGCCACCAGCACCAAAGCCGGACTCACCACCACCCCCTACCCAAAAACGTTCTCAACAACCGGCACGGATGTCGTCCCCTCCCCCTCCGTCCACCCCACCAACCGCCACGCCTGGGTGCACGTCTTCCCCGAGGGGGCGGTGCACCAGCACCCGGACCTCGAGACGCGCTACTTCCGCTGGGGCGTGTCGCGGCTGATCCTCGAGTCCGAGCCGTTGCCGGACGTGGTTCCCATGTTCATCGACGGCTTCCAGAAGGTCATGCCAGAGGACCGCGCGTTCCCGCGCTTCCTCCCCAGAATAGGGAAGCACATCCGGGTCGTGTTCGGGGAGAAGGTGGACGGGGAGGCCGTGTTTGGGGATCTGAGGCGGCGGTGGAGGGAGCTGGTCGCCGCCAGGACGAGGGATAGGTTGGGGAGGGTCGTTGAGGAAGGGGGGCCCAAGGAGGAGGAGGAGGCGGTGGTGGGGGAGTTGAGGGATGAGGAGTTACGGGAGGGCCGGGAGGCGAGGGAGATCAGGATCGAGGTCGCGAGGAGGGTG